CGTACTTGAGAGTAATGAACATTGAATTCTTAACAAAATTACTTCAGAGAAAGGAGGGAGAGAAGGGATGTGGAGGAGTTACACAGGCCTGTTTTGTATGTAATGTTTTATTTGCCTCAAGTCTTTTGAAGAAATTAATTGTAAAGTTAGGTGGTGGATACGCAGGTATTTAAAAAAATGAACTGAAGTATTTAGTAAAAAAAATAAAAATAACACAATCCTGGTAAGGCTGAGGTTCTTTTTTTAGAGGATCTGACCTTTATTTATTTTTTTTCATTATGATACTTGTACTCTTTTTTTTTTTTTAAGATTTTATTTATTTATTTGACAGAGAAATCACAAGCGGGCAGAGAGGCAGGCAGAGAGAGAGGGGGAAGCAGGCTCCCCGCTGAGCAGAGAGCCCAACGCGGGGCTCGATCCCAGGACCCTGAGATCACGACCCAAGCCGAAGGCAGAGGTTTAACCCACTGAGCCACCCAGGCGCCCCGATACTTGTACTCTTTAATCCTTATCACCTATTTCACTCATCCCTCCACCCCATCCGATCTGGTAACCATTAAGTGTCTGTTTCTCGGTTTGTCTATCTCTTCTTTTTCCTTTGCTTGTTTCTTTTGTTTCTTAAATTCCACATATGACTGAGATTGTATGGTGTTTGTCTTTCTCTGACTGACTTCTTTCACTCAGCATTATACTCTAGCTCTATCCATGTTGTTGCAAATGGCAAGATTTCATTCTTTTTTATGACAGTAATCCTGTGTGTGTGTGTGTGTGTATACACCACATTTTTAATAAAGATTTATTTATTTATTTGAGAGAGAGAGGGAGAGCATGAGCAGGAGGGGCAGAGGGAAAAAGAGAGAGAAGCAGACTCCACACAGAGCCCCACACACAGCTCGAGCCCACTACCCAGAGACCATGACCCAAGCCAAAACCAAGACTTGCTCAACTGCGCCACCCAGGCACGCCTGTATACACCACATCTTTCTTGTCCATTCATCTGTCAGTGGACAGTTAGGCTGCTTCCTTAATTTGTCTATTATTAATAATGTTGCATGTATCCCTTTGGATTTGTGTTTTTGTTTTTTGGGGGTAAATGCCAATATTGTGATTATAGGATTGTATAGCACTTTTATTTTTTTATTTATTTATTTGACAGAGGGAGAGATCACAAGTAGGCAGAGAGGCAGGCAGAGAGAGAGAGAGAGGAGGAAGAAGCAGGCTCCCCGCTGAGCAGAGAGCCCAATCTGAGCCGAAGGCAGAGGCTTTAACCCACTGAGCCACCCAGGTGCCCCATGTAGGGCACTTTTATTTTTAACTTTTTGAGGAATCATCATACTGTTTTCCACCGTGGCTGCACCAGTTTGCATTCCCACAAAACAGTGCAAGAAGGTTCCTTTTCCTCCACATCCTAGTCAACTCTTACTGTTTCTTGTGTTTTTGATTTTAGCCATACTGACAGGTGTGAAGTGATACTTCATTGTAGTTTTGATTTGCATTTCCCTGATGATGAGTGATGTTGAGCATCTTTTCGTGTGTCTGTTGGCCGTCTGGATGTCTTCTTTGGAGAAATGTCTGTTCATGTCTCCTGTCCTTTTTATTTTAAGTTTTACTTTTAATTCCAGTGTTTCAGATGTACAATATAGTGATTCAGCAATTCTATACATGACCTTGTGGTCATCACAAGTCCACTCCTTAATCCCCATCACCTCTTAAACCCATCCACTGTGCCCTCCTCCCCTCTGTAACCATCAGTTTGTTCTCTGTAATTAAGAGTCTGTTTCTTGGGGCTCTTGGTTGGCTCAGTGGGTTAAGCCTCTGCCTTCCACTCGGGTCATGGTCTCAGGGTCCTGGGATTCAGCCGCACAGTGGGCTCTCTGCTCAGCAGGGAGCCTGCTTCCCTCTCTGTCTCTGCCTACCATATGCCTGCTTGTGATCTCTCTCGCTCTCTGTCTAATAAATAAATAAAATCTTAAAAAAAAAAAGAGTCTGTTTCTTGATTTGTCTCTCTTTTATTTTTTTCCATTCTTTGTTTTGTTTCTAAAATTCCACATTCAGATGGTATTTGTCTTTCTCTGAGTGACTTATTTCGCTTAGCATTAAAAAATATGGAAGGCTCCACAAATTTACATGTCATCCTTGCTTGGGGCCATGCTCATCTTCTCGGTATCATTCCAATTTTAGTATACGTGCAGCTGAAGCAAACACTTATGCCCATTCTTAAATGGGATTATTCATTTTTTGGATGTTGAGTTTTATTAATTTCTTTATATATTTTGTGTACTAACCCTTTATCAAGTATGTCTTTTGCAAGTATCTTTTCCCATTCAGTAGGTTGCCTTTAAGTTTTATTGATTGTTTCCTTTGCTCTGCAGAAACTTTTATTTTGATGTACTCCCAGTAGTTTATTTTTGCTTTTATTTTCTTTGCCTTGTGAGATATATGTAGAAAAATGTTGCAGCAGTCGATGTCAGGGATACTACTGCCTGTACTCTCTTCAAGGATTTTTATGGATTCAGGTCTCACACTTAGGTGTTTAATCCATTTTGAATTTATTTTTGTGTATGGTCAAAGAAAGTGGTCCAGTTTCATTCTTTTGCATGTGGCTGTCCAGTTTTCCTGATGCCATTTGTTGAAGAGACTCTTTTTTTTTTTCCATTGTATTCACTCATCCTTTGTTAAAGATTAATTGACCATATAATTATAAGTTTATGTCTGGTTTTTGTCTTTTGTTCCATTGATCTTTGTGTCAGTTTTTATGTCAGTACCATACTGTTTTAGTTACAACTGCTTTGTAATATGAGTTGAACTCTGGAATTGTGATACTTGCATTTTGTTTTTCTTTTTCAAGATTGTTTTGGATATTCGAGATCTTTTGTGGTTCCATACAAATCTTAGTATCGTTCGTTTTAATTGTATGAAAAATGCTGTTGGCATTTTGGTAGGGATTGCATTAAATCTGTAGATTGCTTTGGGTAATATAGGTATTTTAATAATACTTGTTCTTCCAACCCATGAGCATGGAATGTCTCTCCATTTCTTTGCATCAACTTAAATTTCCATCATTGGTGTTTCAGGTCTTTCATTAGGTTCCTTTTTTTTTTTTTTTAAAGATTTTATTTATTTATTTGAGAGAGAGAGTATGAGAAGGGGGAGGGTCAGACGGAGAAGCAGACTCCCTGACAAGCAGGGAGCCCAATGCGGGACTTGATCCCAGGACTCCAGGATCATGACCTGAGCTGACGGCCGTCACTTAACCAACTGAGCCACCCAGGCGCCCCATTAGGTTCCTTTTTGACAATAGCCTTCAACCTTTCTTCCTCCCTAGAGGTAGTAACTGTTATCAGTATGAATTGTACCTAGGCCTTTTTTTAGGTATTTGTATACACAAATACGTACCCTTAGAAAACGTATGGTGGCATTTCTATTTTATTTTTGTAATGTCATCATATTATACAGGAATACCTCATTTTATTGCACTTTGCAGATACTGCCTTTTTTTTTTTTTTTTTTTTTTTTTTTAAAACAAATTGAAGGTTTGTGGAAACACTGTTGATCAGGTCTGTTGGTGCCATTTTTCCACATCAAATCTCTGTCACGTTTTGGTAATTATTACAATATTTCAAACTTTGTCAGTATTATTGTATTTGGTATGGTGATTTGTGATCAGTATCTTTGATGTTAACAATTGCAATTATTTTGAGGTGCTACAAACCACTCTTATAAGATGGATAACTTAATCGACAAATGTGCTTGTTCTGACTGCTCCAACAACTGGCCAGTCTCCCGTTTCTCTCCCTTTCCTTGGGTCCCCATTTCCTGAAACAAAACAATATTGAAATTAGGCCAGTTAATAATCCTACAACAGCCTGTAAGTGTTCAAGTGAAAAGAGGGTCCATGTCTCTCACTTTAAATCAAAAGCTAGAGGTAATTAAGCTTAGTGAGGAAGATATATCAAAAGCCAAGATAGGCCAAAAGCTAGGCTTCTAGTGCCAAAGAGCCAGGTTGTGAATGCAAAGGAAAAGTTTTTCTCAAAGAAATTAAAAGTGCTACTCCAGTGAACACACGAATGATAAGAAGTGAAACGGTGCTGATATGGAGAAAGCTTTGTGGTCTGCATAGATCAAACCAGCCCATTCCCTTAAGCCAAAGCCTAATCCAGAGCAAGACCCTGACTCTTCTGTGAAGGCTGGGAGAGGTGAGGAAGCTGCAGAAGAAAAGTTTGAAGCTAGCAGAGGTTGGATCATGAAGTTTAAGGAAAGAAGCCATCCATCTCTATAACCTAAAAAGCACAAGGTAAAACAGCAAGCATGTAGAAGCTGCAGCAGACTATCCAGAAGATCTAGCCAATTAATGAAGGTGGCTGTACTAAACAACAGATGGGCAGTGAAATCTCGTGTTCTGTTTCCCATGTGCACTTTCCTGATACTGGTGAGATCAACCATCTTCTCATATGTTTATTGGCCTTTTGTATTTCCTTTCGTGTGAAATGTGTGCTCATGTTCATTTTTATTTTGGGCTATCATTTTATTATTGATTTGTAGGATTTCTTTACTCTAGTTTCATACTTTGCTTTATATTCAGGAGCATCGTCTCTTCCGAATTGTCTTGGCTATTGCACATCTCTATTTGACATACATTCTAAAATTACAGAATTAGCTTGTCAGGTTGAAGGAGTAACCCTGTTGAATTTGGTATTGCTTTAATTACTACAGGTTAATTTGGGGAGAGGTATCATCTTTTTAGCAATACCATTTGTTTAATCTTTCTCAGCCTAATATACCTTTCTGAATTAGATCATTTGTTTAATGCTTTTGCTCTGTGATAAAAATTAAAATAGCATACCTTATTGTCATATCTTTCTCTTGAAATAATTGTCATCTCTTCTAGCACATTTCTTTTCTAAATACAGGTTATCTGAACTGTTACAAAGGGCTGCTGGTGGGATGTGCAGTAGCAGGTGAGAAAATTCTATCATCTTTTTTTTGTCTTGTTTTTCTAGCAATCCCCAAAGTGAGACTGGAGACAATCTACATTTGTGGAGTAGATGAGATGAGTACCCAGGATATCTTTTCCTATTTTAAAGAATATCCTCCTGCTCACATTGAATGGTTGGATGATACCTCCTGTAAGTACACTCAAGTTTTTTGTTGTTTTTGCCATCTCAGATGGTGAATATTTGTGATTGAGACTACTGTCTGTTCCCTAACCTCTGCCTTTAGCCTAGGGGAGAAAGAATGCCCATTGATGAGAATCACAGTGCCTTAGCTAGTCTGCCAGATCATATTCCATGAGTATTTCAAGTCAGCTCAGATGTGATGACCAGGAATCTAGGAGGTTGGTTGCTGGCCTCTGAGTCTTGTGTACATGATTGAGGCCTCTTTAATTCCCACAATTTCCCAACAAAGGGGTGGATCCAACTATATAGGCTTGGGGCTCTGTGTTCAGGGCTTTAGATTTTGTCATTGCACCTTCCCATATTGGTCTTCACAGGCCTGGGTCTGCCTTAGTATCTGATCTAGACCTAAACTGGAACTTCTGATACTGTATGAAACCTCTCATCTCTGCTTGCTTTGAAACTTCACCTGCTTGAACTAGCTATTATTTTTACTTGCATCCCTACTCCCAAGTCTGATAGGACCTGTGGTAACCACTCTGCTGGCTTCTTGTCTTAATTCACTTCTAGTCTGGCTTTGCTTACTGCCAGCTTGCTGACCTGCTAGGCTGTACCTTGAATAGCTGCCTGGTTTTCCATGCCGCTTTTTTTTTTTTGAAGACGTTGATTCAGCATTGAAAGAAGAAACATGACAGAATTGAAGAGTTTTCTCCGTTTTTCCTTTTGCTTAACTTACACTACCTAAATCAAGGGTTGGCAAACTTTTTTTTATAAAGGGCTAGACAATAAATATTTTAGGCTTAGCAGGCCATACAGTCTTTGTTTTGTTATGTCTATTCAGCTCTGCTATTGTAGCATGAAAGCAGCCATAGACAGTATGTTACTGAATGAGCCTGTCTGCTTTCCACAGATTTTTTTTTAATAAAAAATATGTTGGATGTGTAGTTTATTATTTATTTATTTGTAGTTAGGTATGTATTTATGTGTAGTTTATTATTATTTATTTAATTAATTATACCTACATAAAGCTACATTTTAATACATAATTAATTATACCTACATTAAATATAAATAAATAAATGAATAGGTGGTGGGCTGGATCTCCTTTGCTAACTCCTGATCTATGTTACTAAAACTGTAGCTAAGGGATATTAGAATCAGAGAGACCCTTTAGACTTACCCATTTTTACTAACTCATGTTGAACATCAGAACTGAGAAACAGAGAAGGAAAATTGTTTGCCCAAGGCCACATCACGTGTTTGTAACAAAAGTGAGAATCTGTAGATCTTCATATCTGAAACTGAGAATGTAAAGGTAACTTTAGTTTGAGAAATACTGCTTTAAATAAAATTAAGTAGATTCATTTTCTATAAGACTTCTCAACATCTTTTTCTTGCTAAATTCTCTTGCTTAAAGAAGCAGATTAAATTAGTTGCTACAAAGCCAAGTGGCTGTCATGGCTCCACTGTATATATTCCACGGATACCATCATCACCCACACTTTACAGTAGGAAACAATCATTTGGCATGTCTGAATGACAAGGTACAGCAGACCACTTCCCTGAAGAGGGCAGTAGTATAAAGGCTAATCCAAATTTATTTGACAGTGGTCTTCTTGTTATCATCATCATCATCATCATCACAAGAATACTAACACTACATAATACTTACTGAGTCAGGCATTTTTAATATACAGAACCCTATTTTCATGGAATACAGTTATTTTGTGGAACCTAGTTTGGGAATGCAGCTCTAGGCTAATTTCATCAAAGAGGTTTTACTGCCACTTTCTGTACTGCTTTCATGAGTTGGTTCATACATTTACTGATACTGATCTGTAGCTAGATGAGGCCATAGCAATGACTATGTTGCAGTCTCTGTTTAAAAAAAAAAAGAAATTTACCATATGTGTATGATGTAATGTTTTATTTTACATTTTGTTTTAGGCAATGTGGTTTGGCTGGATGAAATGACAGCCACACGAGCTCTTATCAATATGAGCTCTCTGCCAGCCCTGGAGAAGCTAAGAACCAGGGATGCCAATGAGGACAGGTCATCTGAGAAAAGTAAAAAAGGTAACAACACAAAGGAGGGGCTTTAGGGCTGAAAGTCTTGTTCTTTACACCATTGGTTTGGGTTTCTCTGCAAAGCATTATATAGTATCTCATTGTCAGTTATTTCTAAGATAAGCTGTGATGCTTTGGATCATCAGTATATAGGAGAAGATAATGGATTTCTAAGTTACGTGAGATGGTGTTATGTTAAGTTTCATCTTGTCCCTTATATTGTATTTTAGACAAGCAGGAGGACAGTTCAGATGATGATGAGGCTGAAGAAGGAGAAGTTGAAGATGAGAACTCAAGTGATATAGAGGTTAGTAATAGGGCAAAGATATAAACAAGGTTATAGTGTAAAAAAAAACTGTTTACTTTCTTTTATTTAAGGCTTAAGGACTTACTAAGTTGTGTTCTTCCTTTGATTGAACCTTTTGAGATGATATCAGGCTCCTGGCCTTTAAATTCTTATGGCTGTAATGAGTGACTTTTCCTGAAATCTTAGAATAGTACTCATTCTTCTGTATAAAAGAAAATGGTTTTATTGAGAAATACTATGAGGTGTTACCTAATCAATAAAATTAAGAAAAAACAAATGACAGAATATTTCCTAATGGGGCATGTGCTGTTATTAAATACATTAAATATGTTATTAAATACATTAAAGTGTATTCATTTAAAAAATATTTATTGAGACCTACTATATACCAAATTCTAGGTCCTGTGGATATAGCATCAAACCAATGTCCTTCCCTCTTAGAACATACATTCTAGGGGTGCCTGGGTGGCTCAGTGGGTTAAAGCCTCTGCCTTTGGCTCAGGTCATGATCTCAGGGTCCTGGGATCGAGCCCCACATTGGGCTCTCTGCTCAGCGGGGAGCCTGCTTCCCTCTCTCTCTATCTCTCTGCCTGCTTGTGATCTCTGTCTGTCAAATAAATAAA